AATTAAAGAGGGTTTACTCAAGTTTATTTTGAAATTAGTACACCTCGATATGTGACCCATTTGTAGCGCTACAGATATCTAACCGGTAATCGATCTCTCTCCAAGTGTTAGTTAACATATCTGGTGTCACTGATTCTACTGCAGCTACGATTCTTTGACGAAGATGGTCAATGTCACGTATCTTTTCTGAATAAACCAAGTTCTTAATGTAACCCTTACAGGAAAAAATCCAGTGGTGTTATGTCTGGGCTTCTTGGAGGCCCTTTCGGTTTCCCGGCAAGATGGATGGGGAGAGCTGGCCCGATCGCGTGGCCTCCAAGAAGCCCAGACATAACACCACTGGATTTTTTCCTGTGGGGTTACGTTAAGAACTTGGTTTATTCAGAAAAGATACGTGACATTGACCATCTTCGTCAAAGAATCGTAGCTGCAGTAGAATCAGTGACACCTGATATGTTAACTAACACTTGGAGAGAGATGGAATACCGGTTAGATATCTGTAGAGCTACAAATGGGTCACATATCGAGGTGTACTAATGTCAAAATAAACTTGAGTAAACCCTCTTTAATTTCATGTATTAGATATAAGAATATGTATTCTCTACAATAAACAATCGTTTATCAAAACTAGGGAGTTATTTTTCGGACACCCGGTACTATACAAGTTTGTTTATAATTCAGTGTTATGGTTATATTCGGGAAACTTAATTGAGATTTTCTCTCTGGGTGAATTAAATTTGGATAAAAACATAATAAACCACAAGTTTGGCCTTACCTATTTGAAAAAAAACAATTTAATGCTTTATGTTCAGAACATATAAAATGGATAGTTGAACAAACCTTTGCCTTGACAAGGCTTGAAACCTAAGCAGACAAGGGTTAAACTAAAACTTCATATCATCAGCTAATATCATACTATTTAGACAAATGAATGGAAAAAGAGTTGTTTGTTGAGTTAGGTCACCACATATTTATACAGTAACAAAATTTCCTTTTATTAAACTTTAAAAAAAAAACAAAACACTCATATAAAAACAAGATGTTCACTTAGTCTAGGTTAGTTGCGACAATGTGGTTTATACCATGTCCTAATCAAGCAATAAACTTTTTTGTTAATAATTTTCAATAGGGTGGATTATAAGAGTAAAAATATAATATTGAAATACATTTTTCAATATTGTTTAGTAGTTGTTTTACAATATTACTGTGGTGCAGGAGTTAGCTTTAGTAGGTACTTCAGTTGCCTCTTATAAAAAGTGTATTACAAACTTTAATAGCATCTGAATCCGTCTTGATTGTGTTTTTTTGCTTGGTACTCATTCGTACACCTTGAAATATTTGGCCAGCAGCCCCAGCTTGAGATTATACTGGCATAGTTTCTGAGGATTAGATTCACACTGTAAATAGACTTAAATTGTAGTTTTAATGCCGTTTTGTAGAACATTTTAGAACCACTTAGAACCATGTTGATTTTAGAACCATTTTAGATACACTTCGTTTGTAAAAGACAGTTCTTTTAAGTAAAGAAGTTGATAAATCAAGAATATATTTGTATATATGAGGAAATTTAGTTGGCCCAAATTGTGATAACGTGTGCGTGGAGCGTTCCCACTCCTATATTTTAATAGTTCCAAGACAATTGTAAGAGTTCCAGCACTGCAATTTGGGTCGCCGGAATTTTATCCACCTGGGCAAAGCTGACGTCACTATGACGTAGTAACCTGAGCGCTCTAAAGTTTGTTCGCGGGCGGAAAATCCGGGCCGTACATTTTGAGCTGACCTCATGAAGAGGGTAAAAAAAAGTCTGCGGGTAAAATTCTGGCCCGTACGCTCTACGTTTTTATATTTTGATGATTAAATTCACAACCATGAAAATATACGTTTAGTTCCACCTTTAATCCATCGAACGGATGTTGTGCAACTCAAAAGTTTGCGGCCGGAACTTTACCCCCTGGTTTGTGACGTCAGTTTTGCCCAGGGGGATAAAAATCCGCTACCCCTGCAATTTTTATGACAGCACCAATGTCTACTAAATGTTTTATGTTCTTAAAAATAATAGTAGGTACCTACCTTTACCTCACAAAACTTAAGAGTGCATTCAAATTCAAATGGATTTTGTATTTTTTAAGCAAATTTTAAAATAATTTGTACAAGTGTTTAGAAACATAAATAAGATTTTGTTGGGGAAGGAGTTTCCTTTCATCACTAAAGGGCTTAAAGTGACTCTTATCAACCCGAGCTCAAGTTTAACAGAAATGAGCGAGGGTTAAAAAGACACTTTTTGTCCTTGTGATGAACTATATTTTTCGTCATATTGCACCATTAACAAACTAAGTTGGAAAATAACAATGGTTTCATGAGTCGACAGCAAAATGACATGGTGGGTAGCTCAATGACTGAGTCTAAAAGAAAACCTGCTTGGGATAGAACTACCAACCTTCAGATTTGAAGGTGAGCACGATAGCTGTTTGGCTACTCAGACAAATAACGAGTTTTTGTCAAAACACTATTGACACAACCCAGGCTGTTTTAGTGCCTATTCAAATATTTTTATTGTAGACTGGTCTTCTTAGTCATTTAGGGGCGGTTTGGGAGCTCGAGCCCAGCTAGTACGCGCCTAGTGTTGGACGCGCCTAACTTTAGTCCCCGGACCAGAAACCAGGCTTGGGAGCTCGCGCCTAAGTTGAAATGGTCGTAGATCAAGTATAGTCGCGCCTAAGTTGCAGCGCGGCTAGATGGACAGGGAATCGCGGGGAATTCAGGTTTTGACGTTGGCAACGGCCATTGCAGAACCCGTTACCGTTGACAACAACAAAAGATGAACACTTATTGAAGATGGATACAATTTTATCTTGGTATATCAATGGTGGCTAATTAGTAGACTATGGTGTATGTTTCTGCATTGTACCATTGCAAAAATGTAGTTTTGTAAGATCGTTGGTTTACATCCCAATGACTGAAGAACCGTAATTGTTTATATTAAATTCTTTTAAGATCTAACTTTATTTTCACTTTACGATTTATAATTATTTAATCAGTTGTCCTTAAGTACTACTAGTTCTCTTTTAAGTACTACGTAGTGTACACCTTATAAATACGTACAGAGCAACATAGGATTAACATCGGAAACTCGGTTTCATGCAATAAAAAGCTTCAAAATTAAACAGTAATTTCCCAGTATAATATAGGGGTATTGACAAAAAAGTAATAAAAAGTAATTGCGGAGGTTATGATTGTGTGAAGCCAAGGTAAATGTAAAAATAATCTTTTAATACAGTACTTAGAAAAAATTGTTTTCAATTTAAAATCTTTTTTTACATTACACTCTTTTATCTAATTTTCCTAGGGAAGTAGGGGTAGCACTTAGTTCCGGGACCGATAAACTTTACCATTTTGATGTCCCTAGAGGCCAAAAACACTGTTCGTTCAAATTTTTTTAGATGTATAGCCTATATATAAATGTATTATATATACGTCCATAAACGTGATCACTTAGGTAATTTTTGTCTAATTTTGATAAAATTTGGCATGAAAGTGTTAGGCGCGGCGCGAACCAGCATGATCAGACCAAGGGAACCCGGAGTTGTATAGGATAAAAATAGTTTTTTTCTCAATTTTAACCCCTATAACATAAATCTTTGTCTTTAAAATATTTTAAAGAGTAATTTAAAGAGTAAAGAGTGTTTTAAAGAGTATAAAAAACAAATTAATATCTTAAAATGTTTTGTACGGTTGTTGGCTACAGAGACTATTGGTAAAATTGTAAATTTTAAATTCCCATGTGATTCTTATGGAGAATAAGTTAACTGTTCTAGTGTGGTCGTTTATGGATATACAGTATTTTTATGAAACTTGACAAATTCATTTATTTTTTATAAAGCTGTTAATATTTTGTTAAAAAACACACTTTATTACCCTCCCTGTAGCAGCATACCTACACCGTAGGTAGTTTCAGGTGCTTGTTAAACCTAAAGTTATTTAAATAAATTTAATTGAAAGCTCTATTAGGTTATTTGGAAATTCGCTTAGTCTGCAGGTTTTCTGTGGCGGGTTATTGATATACTGTATATATTTTCTTATACTCCAAATAATAATCTAGGTACTCCATTTTGATGTAACTAGCACTTGGTCAATGACACTGAACTGAGCTCTATCACAACGCAATTAAAAGATAACGATTATGACTGTGAGCTATTTGCAGGTTTTTATGTTTTGTTTACTATCTCTTCACTCTTTCGTAGGGGGTGAGTGAGGGGTATGCATGTGGTTGCTAATTATTTCCTTACTAATAAAATATTTATGATTAAGGTACGGGTGCTTATAGCCAAACTCTCAGTTGAAAGAAATTCTATTTAGGGTCCATATTTGTATTGCAGTTAACAGTAAAAACAAAAACCAAATAATCTTTCATTAAATTTAGCTTTCTGCAAGATTTTCGTTTTATTTTGAAAAACAGAAAACTAAAAAAAAGTGTTATCAAATATACTTTGAGAGAAAGAAAATGTTCGGAATTTAATAACGAATTCCAATATAACATTCTTTTAGTTAATATGTAAACAATTAACGTGCTAATGAGCTAATACCGGCATGATGTCGACTTAGACCTGCCCCCTGGCAGGACTAAAGTTGGGGACTAAACTCGCTGATTTTTATGACGAAAACATATCTCTTAGTCCCGAAATTGGTCTCCCAAACCCACCGAGACTATCTCTTAGGCTGGCGCCTAAGTCTACTTGACTCCCAAACCAACAATATTTAGGCGCGAGATTATCCCTGCACAAGTTAGGCGCGCGCCTTACTGATCCCGAGCTCACAAACCGGTTTTCGAGGCGGCAGCCTAAAATCCCGGAAATATCCGGATTTAGTCGCGGACTAGCGCTAATACCGAGCTCCCAAACCGCCCCTTAGTGTTTTCGACATGGGTGTTAATAGGACAGATTTCTGTGCTGCCCTTAGAAGTATTCTTTGGCCCAAAGAGTAATGTTGGTGTGTTGTTACAGTGCAGTGACGGCAGTGGGGGAGGGGGAAGATGGCTCTGGTAATGTTGCCGTGCGACCTGCCGTGGTGGCCGATGCTACAGCGCCATCTCAAACACCTCACGACGGACGACTGTGACCACGTGTCAGCACTGCAGAGCATCCACAACCTCTGCAAGTGAGGAACGTTAATCTTATGCTATGATAATTGTCCCTAATAATCAATTATGCGTTTAAAACCAAATATTGTTGATTTTATCTGTGATTTTCTTAGACCAATTACTTCTCAAATGGTAAAAGATTGAATGCCACATTTTTCATCTCTGTTTAGCTTGTTTCTATTTATTTGTTTGAAACTTTTAAAAAAAATTGTTGAACATCAATTTATCAATTTACTGTTAAGTATGGACCTTTGATATATTTTTGAGTTAATAATTAATATTTTTATTATTATTTTACTAGGTAATGGTTATTTTTTATTTAAATTATTTTATGGAAAGACACTGTATGAAACTTTTTCACGCTAGCTATATTCAAACATGCTGAGCCTCGAGCCTTTAAATATCATTTAAACTAAGACCACTACAATATTGTATAATCATGAATGAATGTACTATACTGCATCTATGAGGGTTATTGTAAATTTTAACAAAAAAATGTGTGATAGTGTTGGCCTGGACCCAGATGAGAGAGACAGTCCGGACCTGACAGTGTTTGCGATGCTGGAGACATTCCTGGCAGAGGCGAGTGATACGGAGAAGGCTCACATCTTGGGAGAGACAATACCTGCGATGGCTCGGCGTGCACTGGACCTTCGTAGCCTCAGACCTCCTGGCGGACTGCACTTCAGCCTACAACAGCAACGTGAGTGGAACTTGGGACATTGTTTGATTTTGTGGGGGCAAACCTCAGGACAGTCAGAGATTAACATATTCGCTGCTGTCGCGTTATGTCTTTTGAGAGCCAACGGCCAATGTGCTTAAGGCGAGTGGGTGCAAGGAAATATTCAAATTCTAATTATATTCTATCCAGCAGAAGCACTGTCTCTTTAAAGTATCATTTAAAGTAGGCTATCTCTTTCTCTTTTGAAGTATCATTATTCGTATTAAAGGTATGCAGGAATCCCAAAAACTGGGATAGGACAGGACAAAAGTTATTCACGACCTTGTTTTTGGACAAAGGTGGAAATCAGAAAATTACTGTAGTATAACCATTTCACAACGATTGCAGGAGATGGTTACAATTTCCTGAGATGTTGGGTGACTATCGTTATTTCTTTGGTATTGCTGTCACTTCTGTGGCCGCAAAAGACATTGAATTTTGCAGCAATCACAGCAGATAAGCAGAATGGTTTCATCATGTTGGTAGGAGAGAGAGGTTCATGGTGGTCACAAAAGATGTCCATAATTTTGATGTGTCAGCGACCATGGAAGATTCTCATGATTTTGCTACAATTGTGGGAGACGATCACTTTATTGTTGTGTTCCAAGAGAATTAAGCATGGGTCTTAAAAATACGCAGTCCTATGAGTTAATTAGATGATTAATTTATCTGTAACCAAGCTGTGAGGTGTGATTAACAAATATTTTACTTCTGATGTATGTTAAAATATGTAGTTTTTAAAACTTGTTTAACCTTCAGACATTTAAGTTGACCAAGACCTGCACAAAAGATAATGTGTTTATAAAATCTTGTTTTTTTGATGTAATTATTATCTTTTTTATCTCGTCTATCCATGATATTTGACAATCTTTTGCATAAATTAACTTGTTAGTATCAAAACCACTTTAAAATGGTGTACTTATATTTGGTGTATAATGTTTAGTGGTGTCCTACAGGTAGGCTAGTAGTGAAAAACTTAACATAACACCTATGTAAATGACCCCTCTTAGATAATGAACTTGGTGTGTATGATGGTATACAAATCGTTTTCTTTAATTCAACTTTTGAAATATTGATTATGTCAAATTACAGAAGATCGGATTGAGTTTGATAGGAACTTCATTGCTTCACTTCTTGCCCATTTGTTCTTCTCAACTTTTCCAAAGAGAACACCAAAGACTCACCCGACCCTCCAGGACTTCAACTTTACAAACTTCTTTAAACATCTGGACCTGTAAGTGAGTTTGTCATGTTGTCATGTTTTCTTGACATTACAAATTTTAATACTGGGTGTTTTTTGTATTGCTATTTATACAGCCCTGCATCCTTATCTTATTAATCCCGAAATAATAATATGTACAGTATATAAAGTACAAGGTTTTTAGCCAGGCCTATAGACCAAATTAAATCTGAAATATATTTTGCAAAGTGTTTGGTGTAAAGTCTTGTGCACCTTCATCTCACTGCGAAACTTTGGTAAAAAATTCTATTTTTAATTTATAAAAGAACTGTGATTTAGAGACAATATTAAAATCCACTTCAATAGATGTGCCGCACGTGATACTCTAATTACTAAACAGATAAGAATATATTAACATGTAACTTCAATAGATAAAAGACTCTCTCATCAGCAACCAAACTTAACAGTATTTTTATTATGTTTTTAAGTAGCCTATATTTATTAAATTTTATAAGAACCAAAGGGTTAATAGGCAATAATTATTTGTCTTTTGTTCATTTTCAGAAACTTCCAAAAGTCTAAACTAAGAAGTTTCTTTCACTACTTTGATCTATTGGAGCGGAATGGAGTGCCTTCATCAAAAATTATTTTTTCAAGGCAGGTATGCTACAAGTGACTTAGCTTTGTTTGAATTTTTTACTCTGAGTCTCTAGTTAAAATATGGAAATATATGAAAACTCTTACTTCTTTGTTAAGATAACTTACTTAAACCATCTCTTGGTAGAACTAAACATTACAATTGGGAATTGTCCCTTTTTGAGTAGCCTATACCAGGATAGTTGGTTGAAATTTTAAGAAACCCATTCCAATTTAGTTAATGGACATTCTGTACATGACACACACCACACATTTTTATCAGTGTCTATATTCACCAATGTTATGATTTACTCTACAATGAATCTCTTGACTTGATAGGTGATGTCAGGCAAGGAGTGGTTGACTATAGAGGACTGGCTGGAGTGTGGCTTGCCTCTGTGTCCTCTGATGATAAGACATGAAGGCCGGTTGGACCGAGCCCCTACTGACCACCTCGTCGTCTGCTTCACCAGCTCTCGGATCGGCGGACATGTACTCAGCAGCGGTAGCTCGTGGGTAAGTTGAAAGTGTTTATTGCTACATGTCAGACTGTCATTGACAAAATCATCATTTCAAACTGGAACCCCCCTTAAAAGTACTGAAAGTTTTCTTTTAATCGTCTCTTTCTCAATTTAGGTAAAAGCCTGGTCATATTATGTAATCCTAGAACATTGTGAGTTTTATATTTATTAGATTGCTCACACATCAGCGGTGATAACGATAATATAGTAAGATTTCTGTTCCTCAAAACAACCAAAAATCCTTAGTAAATTTCCTGAATTTTCAGGCCCGTAAGGCCAAATTTGTTATTTGGTCCTTTTCTGTTAATTCACTACCACTGGTGGAATAAGGTTAGGTTTTTCTAACTCTCTACTAACCTATACTAACCTAACCTAACCTAACCAAACCAAAGTTTAATTCACTACCACTTCTATTGCTAATCATCTATTGTTCTAAAAACCAGTGGTAGTGAACTAACGGAAAAGGTCCTGTTATTTTTATTAATCAGATAAATTTTAGATACAAAATGTTAAAAGCCTACTATGGCTATTTGTGAATTTTGTGTATATCCTAATTGACTTGAAATCAAAATTACACATCGAATCCAGAATCTAACTCAACATTTTTGTATTAAAATCATTAAAAATGTTCCCATCACTTGATGGTAACTCACCACCTGTGTCTATTATGTTTGTAGGAGTGCCTGCAGCTGTTCCAGTGTCCAGAGATCCTCAGTGCCTTGCTGTTCTGTGAAGCGTTGGAGGACAACGAAGTGGTCACTCTAGAGGGGGTGGTGCAGGTGTCTAGGGTCACTGACCCCCGCTACAAGGCTACACTAGAATTGATCAATGCACCTGTCACGGTACGAGCTGACAACACTCGCCTACTTATATCAATCAAATTATTAGAAGGGTATTGTGATGGAAGTGGAAGTTTGAAAAGTATCAGTTAGATAATTGATTTACTGTAGGTTGTACAAGTAAACACTTTATGGTATGATTCATGTTGTAAAATTTATGTTGCCGCTTCACAAACAATGTAAAAGATAACAACCATTTGTTAAACCTCCAGTCAGACCCCAATTTCAGATCACTGATACTCTTTGTAGAATTTCTAACTGTCTAGCTAATACAATGGTAAAAAACCCACTTAGTCCTGGGATTAACAACATAAATAGTACAAATTTTCCAATGCAGTAATTTGTAGGAAAACATCTTACACTGTTCAAAATTCAAATAGTGTCAGAAACAGAAACTCCTACATTTCATACTTCCAACCTTGTAATCTTTACAATTCAATGTCATATAATTGTATTACAACAGTTAACCTCACTGCTAATGGATGCTGAGAACTACTCTAAGCTTCCACTGAGCCAGTATGAAGAGGACAATTTCCTGCGGGAGTTGAACAAGTCTCTGCTGGGGTTCAGACAGCGCGCCGCCCCTCCCCCTCCACCCACCACGAGACGACTGTCGCCCATCGGAGAGTCGTTCAGTTCTACACCTCCCGAGAATGATGAAGCGTACAGCAAGCCTGTACAACCACCTCAGGTGAGTAAAGTTACAACTATAGCTCATGTGCTTTAATTGTTTATTCTTAAATAGTACCAGAGTTTTGCTAATCCAAACTAACAGGCACCTAACCCTTTGCAGATGACCAAATTGTTTGGGTTAGCTGAAAATGCTGTAAAATTTCATCAAAAAATGACAACAATCTATTTTTACAACTAATATTCTTTTGCAAGGAGCCTTATCTTTAGGGGTGTGCGAAGCAGCAAAACATTTTCGATTCGATTCAAAAGATTTTCGATTCGATTCGATGCAATTCTATTCGAAGCAATACGGTATTTTTCTATTCATAATTTTCAATTGAGTGGATTAACAATCAATTAAAATTTACCACATTTGTGTAAGACAAATTTTTGTTGATGTGGTATTAGGCCTATTCATACTTAACATATGAATTTTAGGTGAACAAATATTTATTTTAAATCATATATTAGAATAACCTGTATTGCTGGAAATACCAGTGAGCTGCTTTACTTGCCTATTTCATAATTTTTACTTGGAATTGGCTCAAATGCAAGAAAGAAGAAAATCATTTTTTTTATCAAGACATTCATTCTCATTTAAATAACTGTTTAACTAAATAGGTAGCTAAATTACAACAAATTTGAATGGAACTTAATATAAAAAAGACCATTAACAAATCAATTAGGCCTAACATATCACAAGTTTAGGGCCTGTGGACCGGCTTCAGGACTGCAAGCAAGAAGAAAATAAAAATAACATGTTTCCACCATGCAACATGTATCATTCATTCCCTGCCTCCTAACCTCCTTAGTATAATAACCTCACACTTACATTATTTGTTACATCATCATAAATAAAGAATTATCTATTATTGGCATCAGTAGGCATACAGCTTTACATCTATAGGCATTATTTTTATAGGGCCTAAAATAGTAATAGGCTAGAAGCAACATGACAAGTGGAGAGCTCATTGAAGAAAAGATATTGTGTAAACTAATTTCCTATAAAACTCAAAAACAGTAAATAACATACAAACATTGTTTATGGTATAATTAGTAAGGACTAAAAAATGCATATCATGTCATACAGTAGTATAGACCTACTGCAAGAGATTAAAATCCTAAAACAACTGATTTTGATAGCTAGTGAATGAAAAGAATTAAAAATCCATAAAATAAAGCCAAACAATATCACAATTAATTAGGTACCCGAAAAGTAACTCTTAAATAATATATATAGAAGATTAAAATAATATTAAATCAAGAGATAAGAAGGTTAAATGCTAACTTCTAGTGCCCTTAGCAACAACACAGGTCAATGTTTTTAAACGGGCGGACCTCGTTTGCGCTCTAATCCTCTGTCAGGTAGAAAGTTGATCTCGTTTGCGCTTCAAGCCCAGACGGACCCACAGGTACCCCATCAGGGAAATCTCGTTTGCGCTTTTTGGCGGCATAATTTGTAAAATATATCCGTTTGTATTAAATGCGGATTGTAATTCCTGCCCTATCGTATAATTAGTTATAAGTAGACACCTAATATGCAGAGTCGAATGGGCCAGAGTTCAGAGTTATGACTTGCTTTCTTATTGAATATCATACTCGATTGTGTGTATATTAAAATCCTATATTACAATTAAGTACTAGCCTAGTATTTTCTTTAGCTGTACTCTTTGTATTCTATTATGGGCTTATTAAAACATTACACATTTATACTTTTAACTCAGTATATTTCCCCATTCCCATGCGTAAACATATTTATACAAAAATCAATCTGAAAAAGAGTATGTTATATATATATATAGTAATTGAAATATTATAGATGTTATTGATTTAACTATTTACAATACAAACAACAAACAATAAAAGAAATATATACATAATACTTAACCCTATATTTAAATAGTTATTTGTGTAACTAGTGAGCAAAGGCCTTTTGCACTCGTGTTACACATTATATTTTTTCTACAGTCACTATAAAGCATATAAATAATTAGTCTTTCAAACACTATACAACACGTTTTTAGGTTCAGCTGGCAACACAAATAGGTGCCCTAGAGGAAGTTAGTCTCTGGTCCGTATCACTCCGCTATTTTTTCCTCGGCAAGCAATGTGCTCCGCGACTTGAGAAAATAGTTCCGTATATTTTTGTAATTTGCAGTGGTTTCCGCGCCTAAAAAAATGCTTTAAAGATATTTTCTTGTTTATTAAGATTGTAGGAGTGTTTTAAAACGTTTAAAAGAAAAGTCCAGAAAGTTCAGAAATACCGAAAAGAGAACGTAAACTATAAACACGAAATGACAGGTTAAATCGTAGTTATAATAGTCAATCAGCTGTTCATAGTATTATTATCTTTAAGTGTTGCCAACCTATTTCCAAGCGTACACGGATTACGTGCATAATAGAACCACGCTGTTGTGTGTTGTTTCGTTAGAATCCTGATGTGCACCAAAGTATAAACCGTACGACAAAGTATAAACCGTACGACAAAGTATAAACCGTACGTCAAAGTATAAACCGTACGACAAAGTATAAACCGTACGACAAAGTATAAACCGTACGACAAAGTATAAACCGTACGACAAAGTATAAACCGTACGACAAAGTATAAATATGCAGCAATTAGCAGCTTTCTGTACTATAAACAGTATAAGAGAGCCAACTTTGTCGGGTGACTGTAGGAAAACTTATTTCTCTACACTCGCCCTGTACCCCACACATTTTATGAAGTCCATTTTCCCAATTTTTTCTTCTCCTAACTGAACAATCTTTTCTCCAAGCCACTTGGTCTTTAGATCAGTTTTTTGTCACGGCTGCGTTCACAAGGAGTAGACTTATTTACAAATATTTATCCAGTGTGTAAGGGTTTGTTTACAAATAGTTGTCTAAAGGGGAATACCGTCACGTTGGCTACCTGGCCCGAAGAAAGCGCAAACGAGATCGGGGATTCAGTGACCCTTGCTAATCCATTTGGGGGGTCCGGATTAGAGCGCAAAAGCAGTACGACCTTTTAAACTACCCTCAATTTCTCTGAAGGACGGGTAGTAGTATGTCAACAAAAACAATGAATCGCTCTCACCACCAGCCAGGCCCGGGCAACGATGTGTGCATTCAAGGTCATAGACCCTCCTCCTCCCCTCTTACACCACCCGGTTGCTCCAATTGCTGACAAGATGCAAGTGATGAAACAAGGAAGTAGAGACAAAAAAATATATTCCTTTATTCAAAAACACAAAACTATAACAGATCATTTTCAAAGAAATTAATTCATTGTAATTTGTGTGTTGTAAATATTGTATTGGATTTTAGAAAAATATATTTTTTAAACCCCATCTAACCAAGATACAGATCTGTTTACTATATCAGATATTTCTTTTGTTTATATTATGTAAAATACTAAAATATATTTTTAATTAGGTATGGAATAAATGATTAAACTAGTATGTCTGTATAAATAGTCTTTTTTTACTTTGTTTTCTTTGCACTGTTAGTGTGTTAGTGTGCACTGTTAGTGTCACGGCTTTTGTCTTGTCACTCTTGTCAGTAGACGACTAGACTGGCTCTGGCTAGTGGCAGTGCGGCAATTGCTCTGTTGTGTCTTTATTCTTAAAGGTCGTGAGCCAAACTTAAACTTTAATTCTCATTTGAACATTTTAATTCCTCTGTAATAATAGATATAATAGGCCTAATATAAGAGTGTTTCTTTGGAAATAAATTATTCTTTTTTTTTCAAACAAATCTTTGACCTGACCTGAAAAATTCGGAGACCCACAGACCCCTAACAAAAATACCAAATTTATCAGTCTAAAACATCGATCTTGCTAGTTAAGTATTAAGTAACAATTTTTCAGACTTATTTTTTAGAATGCTTTTGGAGTAGCCTATCTTGTTTTGGTAAGGTTTAAACAGTAGTAAAACATGTCTCACACTGCTTACATCAAGACAAAAAACAAAACCTCTCATCATTTGCAATGTCAAAAAAAAAAATTATAAAACAATTAAAGCTATATTTAATGCAAAGAATGTATTAAATAAGAACGCCTTCGTAAAGGAAACGCAACAGCAACGCGCTCCTGTATTGCGGGTATTGCATTGACTTTCTGCAGGCGTTTTTCGTATATGGATACTGACTCCCTCATGAATCGAATCGTTTTTTGACCACCACTGAATCGAATCGAATCGAAATTTTGATGCATTTTCGATGCATTGCACACCCCTACTTATCTTGAATAGTTCCCTCCGGGCCACTGAGAGCGCACTCCAGTAATGTACATTGTTGAATTAAAAAAAAAACTACTTGGTTAACAAATGTTTAAAATGTTGCAGAAGGTGAAGCCCGAGCTGGGTCCTCTAGCAACCATTCCTCCCGTCAGCATCCGACGGAGATTCATCCTCCTGGGCTCGTCAGGTGAATGTCTTCCAATCTCCCGTAACCCTGCCAGCCGCTACTCCTCCTGCCACTCCTCTGACGATGGTGATCAGTACTTCTCAGCTAGGACCAGCATCAGCGAGACTTGTAAGTCACATTATACTTAACCTTACCTGAGTGTCCAGTCCATTAAAACATTTGTACATTTTAAGTCATTAGAAACTGAAATTTTTACCCAAAATGAGATTACTGTAGATGGTTTGATTCTTGCACGAGAGTGAAGGAGTGTTTGCTATTTTTATTTATTTTTTTTATCGTATTGGTGAGAAAACCGTAAAATGGTATCTTAATCCAGGATCAAAACCAGTAACCTTAAAATTTGAAGACGAGCAGGACCAAATAACCACACTCACACAGCTATCCAAACGATTTTCCTAAGGAACCAGTATTCGTGGGAAACTATTTTTCCATATTTGTTTGCTGATAGCCTACTACCAGTTAAAAATTATGATCCTGATTGTTTCTAGTTGTTGGTAATGTTCAATATTATTTTGTGTACAGTGGAGGAAGAAGAGGAGGGTGAACACAACTACAGTGCGCAGTTGGACACACCAGAGCGAAGGTGTACGTTTGCCCAGCGACTGAGAGAAGCACTGGACAGAGCACAGTCCAGTGAGAGCTCAGAGTCTAGCTATGCTGTAGGTATCAGTGTGACAGGCTCTAGTACAGGAGACAATGATATCAGGTATGTACAAGCTTACGTTTGCCCAGAGACTGAAATCTCTTCCTGGTGTTTTTATTCAGTCTTTATTATATGATTATCAATAAACCGCAACAAACCGACAAACTTTCTTTGTAAACTTGTTTTTTCATATTTACTAGTTAACGAAAAGTTAGATTGTGAACTCCATAATGAACTGCAATGTATTTTGTTGTGGATAGTCTTGCCATATTTCTTAGGTTTGATAAGCCGAGGATCGAACTGAGTTGTTTATTTTTTAAATCAGACATATATAGATATTTGACCACATGGCATGTTTTAGGATGAGAAGAGGAGGCTCCAGAGGGTTCATGTTGGAGGAAGAGTCAGTAGATGAGAGAGGGAGGATGAGGCGGAGAGAAATGAGGGAACCTTCCCGACCTTACAAGAGAGGAAACTCATCACGATACAGCTTCAGTACAGAGTACAGCTCAGGTCTGTAGTACCTTGGACAAATAGAATAATTATGACCGTCAGCTTTGCTGCGGTTAGCATAAGTTCTGGTGTCCACCGCTAGGTTTGCCGTGTAGTTACGGCGCACACTGCTGCAGCGTGCAGCGTCCCTGCTGGTCGCATACGGCTCATGTGCTCCTCACCTGCAGCGGTGTGCGCCGTAACTACACGGCACTCCTAGCGGTGGGCGCCGGAACCTTCCTTTGACAGTCTATATTTATTCTATTTGTCTAGGGTAGTACTATATATATGTACTATGTAGTAATGACTATTGGCGTCATGCAAATTTAAAATTACCATTCTTTATTTGAATTTGATAGTGGTTGGTAAATTCCAACGAGCTAATTCCCATTCTTCTATATATTGACTGATTTTGTTAATGCAGACTTGGAAGATGTGTATGAGCAGTTGGGAAAGTGGCTGGATGAGGCTGGAGACTATGCTGATGGAGAATGTGATAGGCAGGTAAATATTACATGCAACATCATACAAAAACAATGTAAAAACATAATTTACAGCAACATTTGAAATATAGAAGCAAACCAGTGTGGTGATTTGAACTGTATGGTAGTTTAGAATTTTACATATCTTTAGTAGGCCTAGCCCAAATTGTGATTAGCTGCACATAATTAAGTGAATTATGATAATAAAATTTTCATGAGTGAAATTTTTTTTAAGTTGCACTATTCAAACAAAAGATGTAAAGCTACATGTAGGCTATATTCACGTACCGTTGAGTTTAGGTAGCCTAACTTAATGTAAGCATTTACATGTTATTTTATACAGGCACAATGTTTTGTACTAATTGACATTAACACACTTATAAAATGTACATAAGGTTTAAAATGACATTATCATTCTTACACAACAGGCACACATTTTATAAAGTCAATATTAAAAGACTTTTTAATATTCGTTGAACAAAAATAGCTCTTTGTTCTGGGTTTTTACATAATTCTAGTATAATATTTGAATATATATTATAGTGATGGTCAGATCCGGATATCGGATAACCGGATTCGCCGGATCGGATCCAAAAAATTCCGGATCTTGGGCTGGATCCGGTTTTGATGGATCCGATTTTTCCCGATTTTTTTGCTAACATAAAGCTGTCCAGGTCCAAGTTCCAGGTCCACAGTATTGATAGCCGGGCATATAAACTTCAACCGGTAATAATTTTTACCGCCGAATTTAGTTCCAGGTCCACAGTAATGATAGCTGGGCAAATGCACTTCCACCGGTAATAATGTTTACCGCCGAATTTAGTTCCAGGTCCACAGTAATGATAGCCGGGCATATGCACTTCAACCGGTAATAATTTTTACCGCCGAATTTAGTTCCAGGTCCACAGTAATGATATCCGGGCATATGCACTTCAACTGTTAGTAATTTGTTACCGCCAAATCTAGTTCTAGGTCCACAGTAATGATAGCTGGGCATATGCACTTCCACCAGTAATAATGTTTACCGCCGAATTTAGTTCCAAGTCCACAGTAATGATAGCCGGGCATATGCACTTCCACCGGTAATAATTTTTACCGCCGAATTTTGTTCCAGGTGCACAGTAATGATAGGCGGGCATATGCATCTTCCACCGGTAATAATTTTTACCACCGAATTTTGTTCCAGGTCCACAATAATGATAGCCGGACATATGCACTTCAACCGTTAATAATGTTTATGGCCGAATTTAGTTCCAGGTCCACAGTAATGATAGCCGGGCATATGCACTTCAACCGGTAATAATGTTTACCGCCGAATTTAGTTCCAGGTCCACAGTAATTATAGCCGGGCATATGCACTTCAACCGGTAATAATGTTTAGTTTACCGCCGAATTTAATTCCAGGTCCACAGTAATGATAGGCGGGCATATGCATCTTCCACCGGTAATAATTTTTACCACCGAATTTTGTTCCGGGTCCACAGTAATGATAGCTGAGCAAATGCACTTCCACCGGTAAAAATGTTTACCGAACCGGTAATAATAACCGGTAGTAATGTTTACACCGGTAATAATTTTTACCACCGTGTTATCTGGTTAATCGGTCTTGTTCATAGATACAGACAGCTTTGTGTTAGTAATAAAATTTGGAAAACATTGGTCTTGTATGCCTGGATCACCCCTTGCTTATCTCTCTTTGTTATTCGTTGCAGGTCCACAGTACTGATAGCCGTGTATGTGAAACTCTACAGATAAAATACCCTGTGTCTGTGTACAAGAAGATTATCTGTGCCCATACAGGGTGAATAAAAAAGTCAAGACTCTCCCATCTAATATTTTTCTAAGTTTGAACACAGTACAGTCTTCTTGTACACAGACACCCTGTGTTTACCTGTAGAACTTCACATACCCGTCTATCAGTCCTGTGGACCTGGAACGAATTTAAGAAAGAGATTAACAAGAGGTGATTCAGGTATAAATAAATTGGATGCTGCATGCAAAAACCACGATATAGCATACTCAAGATCGAACTATAGTAACATATACACAGAAACCCTTTTCCAACAAGAGGTGATTCAGGTATAAATAAATTGGATGCTGCATGCAAAAACCACGATATAGCATACCGGTACTCAAGATCAAACTATAGTAAAATATACACAGATACCCTTTTGGTGGTCGTGCAAACTTAGGACAAAGTTTCATTTTATGATTTTTTAAAGTTTTAGTGTCCCCAAAAAATGAGGGATTATGGGCTCAACTGGAGATTACTCTGTATATAAGATGTTAATCTTTAAACATTACCAATTTAATTTTAAACAGTATGATTTAAATTGGCATATGTTAATTACGTTTTTTTAACCCGCCCTTATGACAGTGTGTATCTGGATCAAGATCCGGATTCGGTACCGACATTTTCTTGGATCCGCCCATCACTAATATATTATGATTTTTTTATTGTTATGTTGCAGAGACTGAGGGACGTGGCTGTGGTGCAGTTTGCAGGCAGTCTGCTCAAGAGAACGCTCAGTGAGTCTTTTGTGGGAGTCCCACTGGAGACGGGCGGTGAACAAGGAGAGACAGATGACTCTGAGACCAAACAGAAGATGAAGCTGGCCATGGCGGCCAGGAGCCTCAGTCTGGAGCTGGCTAGACACAAGCACAAGCTGGCTGCTCAGTTGGTGAGTGGCCTAGTGACCTTGATATTTCTATTGGGACACATCGCTACAAGTAAATTGGTAGTTCAATTTTATTTGAATTTGAAAGTTGACTGTTCCCCAAATAGTTATATTTAGTTTCCTTCTATACTAATGTAACTTGCAAGAAACAAGTTAAAGTTAAGTCCGTTGTTAGAAACTCATCAGTCATCAGCAGTCATTAGCACAATAACAATTAGCAACCATTGTACCGATTCGTCATATAAAACAACGAATGCGTAGCAGACGCAACAAATAGTCAGCTGATCAGATACCCACAATTCTCTAACCACACAAAGTGGAAAGGGTAAAGACCCCAGTTGCCAGCAACGAGAGTCTGTCTGTCCCAAGCCTCCCTTGGTAGCTAGTCGGTAAAGGTTTCGTCGTGCAAATTAAATTCATCTCGCGGTGTTGGTCGGACAATCTTTATTTTCTAAAATCGTTTAGCCTATATCCCAAAGGGATATAATTGCAACGCGAGTAGAAAATAGAATCAGTTTTGTTTGTCAAACAAGTGTTAAAAAGTTCGTTTTTACCGGCCAACGCAATCCGCCATTTGGAAATTTCACGTTCGTCACACGAGTTCAAATCGATCGCGTTTTTTATCGTAAAACCGGCTAGTTACAATTCCTCATCCCTATCCCTTTATTTGTGTCAGTGTTTTTTGTGGACGTCCGAAACTGTAAGTAATTTGTGTTATTTATTGTTATATTTTAGAATTCAGTGAGTCGCACATGGTAAATTTTCCTGTTATATTTTGTTAGTACATGTTAAATAAGCACATGTTTCCAGGTTCGAGCTCAATTTGCTGATTTTTATATCCATTTATAGCGTAACAATCTGTATTATTTATTAAGCTGTGATGATCCAATAGTATTAAGAATAAATAGATGAAAATGTTTTTGTAGGGTAATTCAGAGTTACTTCATAAGATTTTATAGTTTTGGTATTTGTCACAGAGTCGTTATCGAATTTCATTGTTGAGTATTAAGGTAAAATTCATTTAAGAGTGCCACAGTCAGTATTTAATTTGGGGGAAATAAATTAATATCAAAGGAGGGAGCAGGTAGCTGGTTCGACTAGATACGGAGGTGTTATCGGATGTTGTGTCAGTTTGCATATAGATGAACCGCCAAAGTACCAAATTAGCCATAAAATAATAAGCAACATTCTAATAAATACTACTACGACTAAGCACAATATTGTTTAATCAGTTGGACTGCGAGACTCGACCTTCGTTTTTGAATCGTTGGCCAACGAACAGGATTTGCTTGGTACTGGTCATCTCAACATTAAATTAAATACCACTCTTCCGTTGACACTTTCGCGATCTGTGTGCAACTGCACCGTATCATCCTTTTGATAAATCCATTCAACATTCTCAAACAAATGACTTCAAATTGATTGTGTCACTCAAGGTCATTCAGTATTACATTAACACAACCTGCAATTGTTAATTGAAATCAATTGTATTTCGTAAATTCTGTAAAATAAATCAAATTGTTACTCACTTTTTAGTTCTCAATAACCTTGGTAATTCATTATTAGCAACATTATTTAACTAGTGGAATAAAGGTAATTCAGTAAATCATAGGCCACTACAAAAGATTCACCTTTTAAGTGCAACACTAAATAATAGTGTGGTAGTGAGCATATTAAATTCAGTGTAGAATTAAGATTGGTTAATATTATTTACATTAAAGGTATTGCATTCTGGAAGAACTTCAAACAGTACCAAGGACGTCCCATAAGGATCTCTGGGGAGTATTTTTATTTTACAGGGCCCACTCAAATATTTTTTAACACCAAGCTTCCACTGCCAAAGCTCTGTTTTATATTATTACTTTCCAAGTTCTTCCAACCTAGGGGCAACCAAGATTCGTAAAGAATTCACTTTGAGAGCATTGCAAGGAGTAAATATATTTAAATGTATAAGTCTATATTTTTTTATTTTTCTTTACACCATTAAAAAAGTCATTAGTGATGTTGCTGTTCTAATTGTTGTTGTTGGTTTTAAGGTATCACTGGTGGGCCAGAGACGAGACTGTGAACTCAACTTGCTGCCAGTTGCAACTGGTAACTGGGGCTGTGGCAGTAGTTGTCTGGGGGAGCCACAACTGAAGGTGCTGATACAGTGGCTGACAGCCAGTGTGGCGGGAGTGCCTCATCTGCTGTACTTCACCTGCTGTCACTACAAGCTGTTCAAGGTAATTATCTAGTAATTACTGAGAAAAATCGGTTTACTTTGGAAAGAATTGATTTTTAATAATGCTACAATTGGTTTATACAATATTGTACATCATGTCTTGTGGATACAATAAAATTGTGAACATCTTATTTTATGCGGTCACACTAAAATCGAGAACGTCTTCTTCAGTGACAGTGAAATCTCACATCTTCCGCAGTCCCAGAAACATGATCATAGGCTCTCACCATTGCGGCAAAAGGTGAAATTGACAAGCCTGAACTGATCCCTTTAGAAAAATATTAGTGAATGCGGTAACTAAGCTTGTCTAAATAACACTATATTAAAGATGCTGAAGCATGCCTTATCTACGATGTTGGATTAAAGATAAATTGCAGGACTGAAAACAGGCCTATAATCCGTTATCCTGGCACTAATATTCAACTATTACTTTGTGACAAATCCATTAATCTTGATGAAATCGTTACCATATCCAGCGGGTTTAACAATGTCTCCCAGAATTGTCATAATGAATTCTTGATCGTCGACGCCACAGAAAACGTACTACTATAACCCAGAATGCCAACCGCATGGTAAAAAGCATTAAGCGGTTTGAGAGAGCTTTGCCTGTCAATCCGTAGGCAGCGCCACCAGCGTTGCCATGCAATAGCATAGCAACGCTGGTGGCGCTGCCTACGGATTGACAGGCAAAGCTCTCTCAAACCGCTTAATGCTTTTTACCATGCGGTTGGCATTCTGGGTATAGTAGTACGGTACGTTTTCTGTGTCGACGCTTTCTGGGAGATTGTGTCATGGGAATAAAAGCTGATCCAAGCTATGTTTTCTGACTTGGTGCTCAATCACTCAAGCTTTCAGGTTAGGCTTGGCCTTTCTCAAAAGTCCAGCAACCAGCACACCTCTACCGAAAACTACCAAGAGCCAACAGAAGTATCAAGAAAGGATTATTCTTTGAAAAATCCTTCAATTCTCGTTTTGTTTGCAGCTGGATACAGTTTGTAGAGTTCTCCTGGACAGACAGTGGAGTGTAGGGGAGCTAACAGGGTCTATACTGAGGTATCTGCAGGCTACCTTAGACAACCCCAACCCCATGGACAGTTCAACACTGTTCGAATTCCTCATCGGTTCTGAGGAAAAACCACCCCACGATTCCCCACCCTCCGATACATCACCATAGTTTTAACCAAATGTTGTCATTGAGTTTAGTTTTTATACATTTGTGCCTGAGGCAGTTTCAAACGGTTTTAGGATAGATATATTTTTATGATATAAACAGCATGATTTGTATGATGTACAACAAATGCCCTTTTAAAGTTGTTAATGTGTCTATTTTGATATTTTTTTTGGAAATTTTATAATAAAATGTAAATAAAGGATTTTTAAAAGATTATTGTAGCCAAGACATTTTTGCACTAAAGTTAAAATTTTGAATGGATACTTCATCAACAAAGTTATTTTTATGTATTGTTAATTTTTGCACTATCTGTGTAACAAATCATCTAAACTTCCAAAGGTCCTTAAAAATTGTCAACTGACCTTTATTTTTTCTGAATCATGATTATCTAAGCTACAATAACTTTATTTTACCCAACCATATTCAATGAATTAGATTTTTTATGGTTTGTTATAATTAATTTAATTTTAAATATCCTTAGTTTTGGAATCATTATTATTTAGTGTCTGTACCAAATTGTCAAACATATGCATTTTATACTTTTCTACGGCTGTTTTGCCCTTATGATGAAAAATTACTATCTATACAGTATTAGTTCAGTTTTTATAAAATTTAGATTTCAGAAGAAGGTAAGGAAGCCTACTTTGATATGAAAATCAACGTTTTTAGGGGAAAATGTTTGAATAACATTATTGGTCTTTAAAGGCTTGAACATTTAGTCACTAAATCATATTTCGTACATATTTTCATATTTTTATGTAAGTTAGTTATGAAGTACTTTTTCCCAAACAAATTTTATGAAAGATAAGTATTTAATTTTACAAACAATATCCTATTTTGTAAAGACTTTTTATGGTAAAAATGAAGAGGATGCCTTCATAAATAATTGTTCGATTGCTAATCACAACCTGTTAAATGACATTGACTTGTAACAAATATGATAACTTTAATTAGATTTCATAATAGGATGTTATGTATGTTATAAGTAGTTAATAGGCCTAAAGGTATTATCATAACGATTCCCAGTCATTGTCAATGTTTAACTTAACACCATGATGAAAAGATTAGTCAAGTATCCTTAAAATCAATCAGTTTAAACAAACTTCAGATGTATCAAATCACCTCAGCTAAATAATGCCGTAGTTTTTTATTTGCAAAGTAATAAAGAGTCTTATGTAATAAATAGTAACAAGAAATTGGCAAATTGGCTGTTATATATTGACGTTTACATATTGTTAATCAACGTATCTTATAAAGGATTAAGTGATCTAGTTTAAAAGGAATATGACCTTTCTGTCATGGCAGTAGCTGCTTAAATAGTATTTTCTCTTTGTACCATATTTTACAGCCAAAATGTTGTGTTTTCAATAATTTTACCAACCCAGTGCACCAAAGTTTGTAATATAGGCAGGTGCAAATAATTTGTCAAGATGGGTACCATTTTAGGCAAGGTTTCTATGGGTTTTATTCGACACGATAAAAGCAGATATTTATACATACCGTAAGAATTGCAAAACATGACATGATAAAGAAGAAAATCAATTTTAAAATCATAAAATAACATTGCAAATAATTATTTGGTAGAATTCAGTAACTCCCAATAGTGTGTTGTTTTAAATACAATTTAAAAATGAACAGCTGTTTCATTAAAAAGTATTATTCACAAGGCCGAAATGTAAACAACTCTGTGGAGGGATCTTTAAAGACTTCTGGGGCAGAGTCCTAAGGGATTTTGCTTAGTTTTTCTTTTGATAACTCATCTACAGACCAAGACCTTTCTTTGGACACCTCTACCAAGTTTCTACGCCCAGCCGTTCTCTCAAATTAGAAGGGACAAAGTTTCCAATTAAATATTAAGATTCCCCCATGTTAATCTTATGGGAGAAACTCCAACTTTGATGGCCTGTGGGGCAAAGCCCAAGGACTTTTATTACATGAATTGGTGAAAGGGGGCGTCTACACAAAAAATACTTTATTTTGACACGTTATTTGTAAAAATCCATTCATTATTAACGGAGGAGTAGTGTTTTGTAGAAATCGCCTTCACGTATTATATATAAGGATACCTAAACATTTGTTTGTGTAGGTTAAACATTTCAGCTGTGTAACATGAATATTTAGTAAAGATGAATGCTAATAACTGTCAAATTAGCTCTTACCCATTGAGCGAATATTTTTCAAACTTATTTCAAATTAATGTCATGTTTTGAAATGGTTTTAGTAAGTTACCTTGAACCAAAACTTGTCGTGATCCCCTCAAGGCCTAGTCTGCAGTAACAGTTGCGAACTAGAACCTGGAAAAAATACCTTAAACCGTAATATTTCAACATTTATAAGACTCCTTCTCATCATGGTGTTGACCACGTAAAAACACACTAGAAACCGCTGTATGTTATTGTAGTTGACTGGCTCAAGGTTAGGAAGTGTTTGTACAGGTTTACTTTGTACATATCTGGATGTTTTGTTAGCGATGTGCTTACAAATTGTACCATACTGTAACGTCGTAGAGACTGATAGGCGACCCAAGCCAATACAGAGTCTTCCACCTTCTCCTCCTCATTGTAATGATTATCAGTTACTCATAGAGCTGGGTGACCAGTGACAATCCAAATCCATATACTTCAATATTTCAACCATATTTTAGAGTATTTTTTTTTATTTGTTGCTTCTTGGTTAGTCTTGTAACATTTTAGAGGGGTTCATTCAAAATATTGTGTATTTCTTAATAAATTGAATGAAAATTGCTTACTTAGTTGAAAAAGTTTAGCATTTCAAAAACAATCTTTCGGTTTTTGTATCTTCGTGGACACTGGATAGGCAACCTTGGTCCAAAGGTTTAGGCTTGTGTCCTAAGTCAAGTTTTGTTCACCCGTATGTTTGCCGGTCTTTAATTACTGCTCTATTACTTTATTACTGCCGTTCAAAAAGGTTTACACCAAAGGGGATTAGAGAGCCCAGTACTAACAATTATATTTTTAAAAGTACAAATATAACTAAAAAATAAACAAAAGTGATATTCTGGTCTCTCTTAAGGCGGCTCCAGACATGCGCCATTCGCCAAGCACCGAGAAGTGACTCTCTGAATCGTGAGTACTGTCTGTGGATACGTCTTTGTCAATGTGACAAGCAGCAAACATTTGTGCTCGTGTTTTCCCTTTTATTGTCGGTATTTTACACACATCAAAGTAAACGAATATTTTATATTCTTGAAACGAACAATTGCTCGGAAAACAACACATGACTGTAGACGTCTACTCGATAATCGGCGAATAGCAAGACAACTAGAACTCCAAACGTCAAATATTTTGTGCTTGGCAACTGACGCATGTTGTCTGGAGCCGCCTTTATAACTTAACTGTAAATTTGAAACCCTACTGCACAAAAATCTGTCAAAGTTTGAATATTTTTATCTGCAACAGTAAAATATAACAAATAAAATGTATAGTTGTATAATCATAGATCAATTTTCATGAAATTTGCTATCAAATTACCAGAACCTTTTTTAGAAACTACAAACTGCATTGTTTTAGGTGTGCTTGTAATAGTGGGAAATCCCCTAGTCCCTAGTCCTCTTTTGTTTAAATCGGTTGAGCAGTATAAAGGACACACCAACGAACAGCACCCTGCTTAGGACACTGGCCCAACCCTTCGGTCCGAGGTCGTCAGTCTCAGACAAGTTTTCTATGCAATTAATCATAACGTGCTTGATTTTTCTCTACTATAATTGTTTATTAGCATTTTATTCTTGTAAACATTTTATCCTATATTGAAACATCGTATCACTGTTTTAAACAACTTGTGGCCTATTAAAAATTTATTTTTTACACTGAGATACTTAACTTAGATCATGGAATGAGGGAGGAGAGACTTTCCTTGCTTTCCTACTTACTCTAGTCCTTAAAGCTTAATATATTTTGTGCTGTTTTGGAAGTAAATTTTGATTGTATGTGGAATAAAACATTATTTATAGATTTTTTTGATCATTTAATATGACTCCTATAAATTTTCAAACTTGTATTCCTTCAATATTTCCTACTAGCCACGATTTGTAATGCATTAGTTATATGCATTTGTTAATTAATACTCAAATGCATCGTTTTGTATTGTGCAATGTTCAAAGTCAGAGTAAAGTTATAACATAAGCTAGATATTGAACATTACTAATTATTACTACCATATTTGGAAATATGTATTTTAAAAGATAGTTGCAGCAATTTTACACAGCTTTTTCATGCACATTTTGCGTACTAAATGAATAGGAAGTAAAATAAGAACAAATAGTGTAAAAATATTTATACAACAATGAAAAAGTAGATACATAACTTATATGAATAAAAAATCAATAAGACCAAACAGAATAAAAAAATACAACGTAGAAACAAATATAAATACAATAATATAGAATCAGCTATTCAACGTAAATCTTTTTTTAATTATTTACATTAGACTAGATTATGAGGACACACAAGATGCACCAAACAAAATAGGGGGTTTGTGTTACAATAAAACTCAAGGTTCTCCCATACATTTCAAGAACACTTTGTTCAAAGCACCTAAATGAAAAAAAAATCCACTAATGTATACTATTACGGTTTATTAGCGAGTAAATCTTTGACTGAATATTATAGTGTATTTCTGTTTCTCTTCCATAATAAACAAAATAATTTTAAAAAATCTACAAATTATGTAAAACAATTTGTCAAATACACACTTTTTTTCAAAACATCCTAAATCATTGAGATGCACAACAAATTTTGCTTGGAAAATTTGAAGAATTTAGATTGATTTCATCATTTCATAGCTCCAAAAAATGGATAGATAAAATCTTTCTTTTTAGAGGTCTGCCCTCTGTTTAACACAAAGTATATAAACGCTTGTATTCAAGAGTCCGACTGATGTAGTCGTTACTACCATTAAAAACATAATCCTACCGAGCATGGGAGTATCTTTGGTAGTTTTAATTTATTAATATCGTTAACACCCTTGTCATGAAGGTTTGGTTTTTGGTTTATTAAGTTGAAGCATTAGATTGCACAACACTAGCAAATTGTTAATACTGTTTCACTGCGTCACTGCGCTGAAAACTTGCTTCTCATTGGATGACACAGACTTGGATCAATATATTTACATAGATCTTGAAAGTAGCATTTGAAGTAGGACCAACCAAACAGCTTATGTTCAAACGTCAAAGATAGCATTGTAGGGGGGTGGAGGGACGTAGACCAACTCTGGTTTTGTGATGCTGTCATAGCTCGGAGGTCTCTCTCCAGTGATCAAGAACAGCTGGCTGTTGACACTAGTCAGAGTACGCTAGAACAACAGTCCCGCCTTACATTAATTATTGAAGTTTATATTAGTAAGATAAAGTAGCATGCTCAAGATTGACAAATTATTTTATTGAAGTTGAAGTGTTTCATTGCTTGAAAACTTAATGACATTTTCCATTTTGAGTTGTATGAAAAGTGAAAACAGTTTACAGTAGACTTTTGATTATATCTTCTGTGATCAAATCAAAACAATACTAACAAACGTAACGTATTTAATGCTTTACAGTTTTGTTGTGGCAAGGCAAACCAACCAAAATGTTTTTATTACCACTACTGCTTGTTTGAGGTTGGCAGATTTGAAAGAGTGATAATTAGCAAACAATCGTCTTTCATTGCTAAGTATTAAATATCTGGCATAACCGTAGGCCTAAGTCGTAACTATTAAATTGTTAGTCAAAACAAAATAACGACTGTACCTTAAGTAACTCTTAACTAGTATAAACTATTTATTACCGAGAGTCTTTACTGGGGTAACTTTCCAGAGGCTGCGCAAGTTTCAACCTCCACAATGGTACATACTGCTACGATACTCATTTCCACAAGCTCCTAACCATCGACTGAGAGCCGGCTGGTTGTTTACACTCTGCAGTACGAGCCTGCAGAATCAAAAAACCAACTTTGAAAGCTTTCTATGTAGACTGGCCCGTGTTACGCCTCTGACACTTACCGGAGGTGGGGGTAAACGTACGATAGGCTGGAGGCGGCGACACATGTACAGACAGGTTGCGATACTCATCAGCAGTAGTGTGAGGGAGAGCATCAGTACGCGCCAACGTTGCTGAGGAATCTCCTGCCAGTCGTCCACCATGCTGAGGTAGAGCTGGTAGCTCAGCACCAAGGCTAGACTCAGCACCGTGACAATGCCACACAACTCCAACTGCTCATAGCGACACTGCAACAACATTGTTGTGTTATATGCCATGGTCGGATTAAGGAAACAGTCCAAACCCTAAGATAATGGCACAAAAAACAGACCAACATTACAATTCATGTAAGGATATTTATGAGATTCCCAACCTGTCATAACTAAAATCATTGATTATTTTTTCTAAATATTTGTTGGTGTTTATCGATACCATTTTGGCATTAAAATGTTTTTACTTTCTAATGTCGACCTTTAGTTGGATAGTATCATGATTGGCACCTGCAGGAATTTGTGTTAAGGGGGGGGGGGGGGTTAACGATCTGTAACTTATCTCATTCTTGGGTTGAAGGAAACGGCTCTCAACAAACAAATTAATGTAAAACGCTTTTAAGCATTATTAAAGTTTGAATTACCCTTGAAATACTGTCTTGATTGTGGCTACAAATCTGTTTATAACATTAAAGTGCATATTGAGTCTTAAATTTAGTTTCTAACAAATTCACTCCATATTTAACCCATACAGGCATTCCAACTTAAAACATGTAACCAAAAATGTGTCATTGCCATAAAGTGATAATTATATTTCTACAACCCAACTGTGGTTTCTTTGTTATACAATTATAAATCAATGATTACGTAATGAGATTATCACCATTTCCTAGATTTACATTTTGTCCCTTTCAGTAACATTTGATAAGATTTTAATTTACAATGTCCCACCCAATTTCTCTCAAACAATGATGCAAAGCAGCATTTTAAAGATTTGATTACAAAATAAAAGCTATACAAATTTGGAATGCAGAAAAAGTAGAGGTAATATGTTATACTCATTTTGAACAATGCAGTTATTGTAACAAATGTAATGCTCATTTTCAAAGTCATTCCTTTGTTTTCACACTCATAAAGTAAAAAGGTACGATTATTAGTAATGTAATTAATTTTTTTTTATTTACTGTAATTCAGATTTATTTAATAACCCTATGCTTTAGTTATCAATTATGAATTATACGCGTATACCACAGTCCACAAAGTACATTTAATCAAGAAAGGAAACATAATCAGAAATACAAATAAATATAAAATCTTGTAAAAAAACTTACTTTTGCTGCCTTAGCAACTCGGGCAGCAAGCTCAGCTTTTCCGTTTAGCACCATCCCAGATCTGAATGTTCCACTTATAGGAAATTTTGGAAAAATGATGAGACCGCGAGAAGAGGTTTGATGTGTACCAGGCTGAGACGAGAGAACAACTAAACTGAACTGAGGCTTTCAGACCGTCCACCACAGAGCAAAGGTCCGTGTTTATCATCTTATGCAATATTTATGTAGTTATCTGAGAAACTTTCCAAATAAATCTTAAAAAAACAAGTGATTGTGTCTTTTACGAAGAAACATGTCGCCGATTTTTGATGAGGTATTTTACATTAGTCATCAAAACAAATACTTGTATCTATTACAGAGATGTTAAGTAATATGGTAAAATTTGTTTCAAGGTTTATCGTTACTATTTTACATTCATACTGTCAATAAAACAATTGATTGAAGTAAAAGGCGATTGATTTTTATGGATTCTATCATAGAATAAGCAACACATGTTCTATCAATGATGGATTGATTATAAAAATATCAAAATTTGATGAAATCAAATCGCTCCAAAATTTGATTTGTGATCAAAATATCTTTATTCACATCTGCAAATACCTATTTAAATTAGATTCTTTCATAATTCAATCATACTATTTCAACATTATGCTGTTATAAATTTTTAAGATCTAATATTTTTTCAGACAAAAATCTTTAAATGAATAACCAGTTAGTTTAAAACACACAAGGACATATGATTTTAAAAAGTTAAATTCTTGCCAAAAGAAAATATATACTTTTATCAGTTTTTCAAAAACACAAACCAACTTGGTACTATATGGGTGGCTATGCGGGACATTTCTTTGGGGGGGGGGGGGCATTATCTTGTTCGAGGGGTGAGACTTCTACACAAACATAATGAATTTAAAATTCTGTCTCAGGAGGGAGGCCATGGTCCCCACTTCCCCTCCTCTACGGATGACTGCGTATAGCCGGGTTTTCCTAGGCGCGGAATTGGCGAGCGGAGAGAGGAACGCGGAGAGCGGACTCCACTTGTCTTAGGCAATTTAATGTTACTGTTTGTCTAGAAGCGGAGATGAATGCCATGTTAATTTCAATTCGGCTCCGCGTTCCTCTCTCCGCTCTCCGCTTCCGCGCCTAGGAAAACCCAGCTTAACAGGCATGTGGATGTATATTTTAATTTGAATATGATTGTATTATGTGTAGGTCTTTTGTTAGCAGCTTCCCAGACTAAGACCAGCTGATTGTCAACTAACCAATCTCATCAATTTGACAGCAGCTATGTTTGTCAATAATGAGAGTTCTCTGAGCAAGCTAGAGTACATAGACCTCATAAAAATTGTTAGATCGAATTGGATAGTATTATACAACAATTTATTGAATAAAAACATTATGAACAGCCACTACAATTTCAATTAGGTATACCATGAGAGCAGTTGATTCTAGTGATATTCCTAATAGGTGAACGTGTCCTGGTACCTTAGAAATGTTGGGTCATCAAGGAATTAGTAAATTGTTTTGAAAATTATCACTCATTTCTTCTAAAACTTTCATACAGTAGTAGACTCCCTCTTATCCGGACTCCTTGGGACCGAGGCCAGTCCGGATAACGGTTTTTCCGGTTAAACCGACGTCCCCAAAATCTCGGACCGTTTAAATGCATAGGTACTCTATACAGTATTTGACCTAAAATTAGGAGAGCATTGTATTTAGACACCTAATCACTGGTCTCAAATCTTTCCCATGAGAACAGTCGTTTCAGTACCACCCACTTCCTGCTGATCTAGTCTGGCTAAACTGATGTGCTAATAAAAAACTATCTGGATAAAGAGATGTCACGTCTACCGAGTGTAGTCCGATTAAACCGATGTCTGGTTAAAAGGTGTCCGGATAAGAGGGAGTCTACTGTATTCTAATTTTTGCATGTAAAAAAAATAATAATGATAAAAACCTGAACTAGCATTACATAATTGGTAATTTTTATCGACCATTTGTCAATGGGGTGTACTGATATACAGTAATATGAAAAGTTGTGAAGCATAATAATAGTAGTTTATAGCTGACAACTTCCATGGTTCTGTTATGTAATGAGGAAAGCAATTTTAAAAATCTGGTAATAACCAGTATGCACCAACTATTGACCTTCACTGGGAGTATCAAATTGTCTGATCCTCGACCTTAACCTTTTATGTAAAAAAAGACACAACAAAAATAAAACATTGAAAATCAAGATTTTTGTGCATATTAAACTATTATTCTTTTTATTTAATTTGTTACTGCAATGGTTATGGTCGCTTAGCTGCAAAAAGAATACTTTTATATGACACCGAATGCAAAATGGAGGTTTTTAGAGTCAAAGATAGTGTTTCAAGTTTCAAGTTCAAGTTTAATTGAAAAAGATTTGAGGACAGCTGAGCAGTGGCGGTTCCAAGGGGGGGCTACAAGGGCTAAAGCCCCCCCCCTTGGACCCTGGAAAAATAAATTTGAATGTACATTTTGTCCTTAAAACAGACATCAATGTAGTTTTTATTAAACTTAATAAGCGATGGCAGGGGCAGTATTAAGTTACACATAGATACACTTTGTGGACAAGAGCACAACGAATAAAACAATATTGACGCTATGGACATTCAATGAATGCTATTAATGAATTCGATTCTATACATATTGTGACAGATCTATGAAATGGAGAAAAACGTAAGGTTAAAAACGTGCTTATACTTGCTTGCATGACATATAACAGTTGAAATGGAAGGTTTTAGGACAATTGGACACAGTTCTAGTCGTTATAAATGGCTTTATAAAGTCACCAAACGGCTTTTAGGAGATGGCTTCGTAGTCTACAGTAGACCTATGTTTTGAAATTCATGAATGCAAGTTCGTTTTAGTTTGATTTTTAATTGTCTACTTGCTCATGACTAACAAAAATAACAGGTGAAATGGGAGGTTTTTTGGACAGTTGGATAACAGATATAGACGTTAATAATGGCTTTAGAAAATCAGTAAACAGCTTTTAGGAGGATATGGCCGTAGCCTACAATATATTTTGAGATTTATGAATGCAATCGTCATAGTTATTTTTAGAAATGTCTACTTATTCATGACAAATAAATGGGGAAATGGGAGGTTTTGCGCACAGTTCTAGACGTTAAAACTGGCTGTAGAAAGTCATCAATCGGTTTTTAGGAGGATATAGCCGTAGTCTACAGTATGTTTTGAAATTCATTAATGCAATCGTATAGTTTAATTTTTAAAATGTCTATTTGCTCATGACAAACAACAGGTGAAATGAGAGTTTATGGACAATTGGGCACGGTTTTAGGTGTTAAAAATGGCTTTAGAAAGTCACCAAACGGCTTTGAACTGCTTGGCACGCAAGAAACAAATCAACTAGATATTAAATAATTATTGTAATTAATGTCACAATATTGTGGTATTAAATTACAACTTGTTTATACATCTTACTAGAACACTTTAGAAGTTTCAGTAAACTCTTATAACTTCAGTCTGCAATCAATCAAAGTGTGATAACAGTTTTAAGTACAGTAAAAGTACATTTGCAGCAAATCTAATGTTCTCATAATCTTGTTTGTAGGATTCTAATTTATTCGACATATTATTATCAATATTAACACATAAAATATTTTGTGCAACATAGGCCCATATATCATCTTGTTCAATATTTTGTGAAAGTGGAATCTTATCACAGACAAACAACCAAGGCAAACATCTAAAGTAGTTTGAACCAGTATGTTTTAACCTATCCGAGAACAAGTAAAGATATTATATAGACTTTGACCAAAAATTTAAAATTTTTATTTTTTTTTAAACCTTTGCTGCACAAGTATCAGTCTTACATTACAGTAGCCAAGGCCTAATGGAAAGAATGATTTATGAATATTAATTGATTATTCTTAACTGGCTGAATTAAGGCCTGAATTAAGGTTGGTCTACACTAATGGTTAGAGCGTGGGACTTCAGCCCCAAGGTCCTGGGTTCAAATCTTGCCAATCACAACTGGATTTGATCCAAGTGATAATATCATATGACCTAGGAATTATTGTTTGTCTCGCTATACCAACAGCTTTCTTCTCCATTCAGACGGCTTTTGGAGATGACTTGCTTCATTTCCTCGTTTGGCTAACGTACGCGACACCCTGTATATAGGAATTTGATCGAATGGTGTTTTTGGCTTCTGGGGACCCTAAAACAAAAAAGTAAATCGGTCCCGGGTCCACGTCTTACCATGAGACCTACGGTAATAGCTTATTCCCTATATGGGAAATTCACTGAAATGCCACTGGCTCACCGATACATGTACACAAAATTGAATCTAATTTCTGTAGGCCTACTTAGCTATAGACACAATCTACAAAACTCACTCTTGGAACTAAAACAATATTAAATATCTATTTTCTATTTATATAATTTAATGAAGAGATCAAGTAAAATTCCAATTAGTGCAGGAAAAAAGTGTAAAATTTAGCCTAATAGTGGAATTTTAATTTATCAGGCTGAAAATTGGTGGAGATGTCGTACATACAGCTGGGAACATCATACTAAAATTCCCAAAAAATTCCACTTGGGCAACATGCCGCCATCTTGGAAAATGGCCGCCATAATGGATTTCCACCCCTTGTTTCACATATTCAAGCATAAAACCACTCCTAATTGTGATAAAAACGTGCAGTTTCTTCAAAATTATCCGTCGGGATGTAATTCAAATATTTAGAGCGAATGTAAATAATTGTGTATAGTAATTTAACATTTTCATGCAAAAAATTACAAAAGAATAATTGAAGGGTAATAGTAGTCTTGCATTCAAAATTGATTTAAGACCTCTTTTACTCGTTGGGGGGGAAACTAACCAGTATAAATTTTTTGGAACAGGTCAATACGCACATGAAAATGTAATTATATTTGTTTTTGGTCTATAAGTATACCGTCATATTGAAGTTGAACGTGCGTTTGCAGCCTAAGTTTTAGACCGCGTCGTGGTGGAGACTGTAATAGAATGCTGTAAATGAAACGAGTTCGCATGCAGCATGTTGAAGTAAGGGGATATGTTTCCACATTAAATACCCTTTAGGAGATCAGACAAAATACAGTCACATTTAGCCATGGGAAATGTGCCGGGTAATATTCC